GAGCAGAAATAAGATATTCAGAGCTAGAGAAGCTAGCGCTCGCCCTCATATCGACAGCAAGGCGCCTACATTATTTTCAGAGTCACATCGTCGTTGTGATTATAGACCAACCTCTAAAGAGAGTCTTGGGAAATTCAGACGTATCTGGGAGACTCCTTAAATGGGCAGTGGAACTGGGCGAGTTCAATATCCAGTACTAGCCAAGGGCGGCCATCAAAGCACAAGCATTGGCAGATTTTGTTGCTGAGCTTACACCAACAGAAAGGGAGACAAATGAGTCTTCCACGCCCCAGACGTCAAGCTTAGACACAAAAAACAATCTGACGCCTAGCGAGGACACCCAGACATGTAGGCAGAACACCTAGGCGCCCATGCCAGACTCCCGGGCGACTAGACCAGGTGCCCAGGAATCTCCCACTGGCACCCAAACATCTCACCCTGGCACCCAGGCACTCTAGTCTAGCGCCCTGGATCCCACAGAGATCTCTAAGCTTTCCTTTTCTACCACTCTGAAAGCTTTATGTGGATGGTTCCTGGACCAGTGAAGGAGGTGGAGCAGGCCTGATCCTAATCAGCCCTGACAGTACTCCCATCAAGTTTGCAATGAAGTTCCACTTTACTGTCTCCAATAATGAGGCAGAATACGAAGCCCTCCTCTCTGGCTTAAGATTGGCGACTGAAATGGAAGCCCCAGCACCTCGTCACTCACAGTGATTCTCAGCTGATATTTAATTAAGTAAAGGGCGAGTTCGAAGCAAAAGGAGCCAAAATGCAGGAGTACCTCGTTATGGTGAAAAGCCTAATCATGAAGTTCCAATATTTCCAAACAACATGGCCATAGATGCACTCGCGAGGCTCACCTCATCTTTCGAAGCCCTTCCAGGACCAACATTCATTGGTCATCATTTCAAACCAAGCAAGTTAGATGGGGAAGCCATAAACATCAATTGTGCATCTACTGAATCGAACTGGATGACCCCGATAAGGGCATACCTCCAGGAGGGTGCATTTCCAGATGATCCCTTCGAGACCAGGAAGCTCAAGATAAGAGCCTTCAAATTTACTATCTTATAGCTCAAGATAAGAGCCTTCAAATTTACTATCTTATAGGATACCTTGTACAAGAAAGGTTATTCCTTGCCATTATTGCGGTGCCTTTAACCTGAACAAGCTCATTATGCCCTACGGGAGATCCACAAAAGGATTTGTGAAAATCACTCTAGAGGACGCTCCCTAGCCCACAAGGTGCTCAGACAAGGCTATTTCTGGCCTAGAATGGTGAGAGACGCTCAAGAGTTCACCAAAAAGTGCGACAAGTGTCAGCGCTTCGCCACTGTGCCCAGGCAACCACCGGAGGAGCTGAAAACCATTTTGATTCCATGGCCCTTCTCTAAATAGGGCATCAATATCCTAGACCCTCTACCTGTTAGCAGAGAACAGTGTAAATTCATGGTGATAGCAGTCGACTACTTCATCAAGTGGGCGGAGGTCGAACCCATAGCAAAAATAACAGACGCAAAGGTGAAAGATTTTATCTAGAAAACTTGGTTTGTCGCTTCGGGATACCCTACGCCATTGTCAGCGATAATGCCAAACAGTTCGATAACAAGCTCCTGAACTCATTCTGCTCCGACCTCCAAATAAAACAGCCTTATTCCAACCCAACGTATCCACTGGCAAATGGACAAGCAGAGGTCATAGTGAAAACTGTGTTACACAACCTAAAGACAAGGCTCGAAAGAACGAAGGGCCTTTGGGTTGATGAACTCCCAAGCGTATTATGGGCCTACCGAACCACGCCAAAAACTTTAACTGGAAAAAATTTTTTCTCCTTCGCCTTTGGAACTGAGGCGGTTATCCCTATGGAGATCAAGGTACACTCTCTAAGGGTCCAACACCACGACCCCATCACCAATGAGGAAGGACTCCACATCAACCTCGACTTGCAAAAAGAGGCAAGGGAGATNGCCCTTCTCTAAATAGGGCATCAATATCCTAGACCCTCTACTTGTTAGCAGAGAACAGTGTAAATTCATGGTGGTAGCAGTCGACTACTTCATCAAGTGGGCGGAGGTCGAACCCATAGCAAAAATAACAGACGCAAAGGTGAAAGATTTTATCTAGAAAACTTGGTTTGTCGCTTCGGGATACCCTACGCCATTGTCAGCGATAATGCCAAACAGTTCGATAACAAGCTCCTGAACTCATTCTGCTCCGACCTCCAAATAAAACAGCCTTATTCCAACCCAACGTATCCACTGGCAAATGGACAAGCAGAGGTCATAGTGAAAACTGTGTTACACAACCTAAAGACAAGGCTCGAAAGAACGAAGGGCCTTTGGGTTGATGAACTCCCAAGCGTATTATGGGCCTACCGAACCACGCCAAAAACTTTAACTGGAAAAAATTTTTTCTCCTTCGCCTTTGGAACTGAGGCGGTTATCCCTATGGAGATCAAGGTACACTCTCTAAGGGTCCAACACCACGACCCCATCACCAATGAGGAAGGACTCCACATCAACCTCGACTTGCAAAAAGAGGCAAGGGAGATGGCTATGGTTCGCAACGCGGAGTACAAACGCCACATGATGAAGTACTACAACTCGATGGAGACTTGGTGCTCAAAAAAGTGATCCTGGCCATAAAGGATTCACGCGAAGGAAAGTTGGGACTAAATTGGGAAGAACCCTACCTCATAACAGAAGTGGTAAGGCCAGACATCTACAAGATCCAGAATTCTGAGGGGAAGGTCTTACCCCATCCATGGAACGTTGAGCACTTGAAGAGGTACTACCAATGACACCTTGAGAGAGTTAAAGTAGTAAAGTTTGGGACTTGATTTTATTTTGTACCTTTTTTGGGATTATTACCCAATATTGCTTTACATAAGTAGTGAATGAATAAAATCTTCTACATTTTACTCCAAAAAAAAAAAGATCTTTGTATTTTTATTCAATTTCAAAGGAGTATCATTACAAAAGTAAGGCTACAAACTATCTTTTAAAAAAAAAATCAAAAGTCTCCAACACTCTAACTACTCTCATGGTCGTTCTCCTCATCCTCGGCATCATCAGAGCCTCCATCAGCATCATCAAGTGCCTCAATCGGCACAAAGCTTGAGAAATCAATATCAGAGAAATAAGCAGAAATCTTTTCTAGAAGCTCCTCATAACCATCAATGAAAGCATCTGCAAAGCTATTCTCCAGCTCCACTTCAGCCCGAGAAGCTCTCTCTTGAGCAGCCTTCACCTCTGCCACTACGGCAGCATCTCTGAGCATGGCCCTCTCGTGGCCCTCTATAAGCTCAGCCTCCCTGAGCATGACCCTCTCATGGGCCTCCACAAGCTTAGTCTCCTTGAGCACGTTCCTCTCACTAGTGGCCAAAAGCTCAATCTCAAGCTTAGTTGCCTTCTCACGGGCCTCCACAAGCTCAGCCTCTCTAAGTGCGTCCCTCTCACGGGTCGTCAAAAGCTTGAACTCATGCTTAGTCGCCCTTTTACGGGTTATCGCGAGCTCAACTTGAAAAGTCCTACCAGCAGCTTCAAGCTTGGTAATCTTCCCCTGAGCAGCAAGATGCTCATTTTGCAAAAATTCATGACTATGTTTCAACTAGTGATGAAGGATAGTCCTTGAAAATAAATATAGAGATGCAGTTGAGGGCAAAAAAAAATAAAAGGCAAAAGGATGTTAGACACTTATGGAGGGACGGGAGAAAGGGAGATAACAAACCCTTACCTGAGCTCAGCCTTCCAGAAAAGAATTGAGGATTCCCTTGGTGCCCAAGGCAATAATTTCATTCACTTTATTGAGAAACACAAATCTCCCAAGTCGATCTTTGATGACCCGCGCGATACCCAACATGGAGCTAATCTGAGAAGGTGCCTCGGCAGAAGTTCCCACAAGAGGAGTCGAGGAACCAGGGGTTGAAGGTGTGGTCGAAGGAGTCTCTAGAGTAATGGGTACAGGTGAAGGAGTCGTCGCCCGAAGAAGCATCACTAGAGGGGTCAATTTAGGGGAGCACGCCCGAGGAGAAACCACTGTAGGGGTATTCGGAGGAGAGCTCACCTTGGGCCACACCATTGGAGAGGACGCTTGGGGGGCATCGCTTATCCTCGCCACCTTAGGAGGAGGAGGGCTCCTACCAAAAAGGTGGGACATTACCACTTTCCTATCCGCTGCAAAGGAGATGAAGTGTTCTCTAGATGAAAAATACCAAGTAAAGAGGTAAAGCATAAGAGAGTCAACATACCTTTTCTCTTCAATAAGAAAGGAGAGAGTCCACCAGCCCTGCCACCATCTTTGGGTAAAAGAACTCCCAAGTCCTTATCAGGATGAACTCTTATGGCCTGCAACTTCCATTCTTGATCCTTCGAGAGCGCAGGAAAGTCTACAATGGGATGATGGGTACACATATAAAAAAAAAAAAAGAGGAAATGGAGAAAGAGTCAGTGTAAGGCATACCAAGTGTCCTAGGAACACCCCCATCGTGTTGGTACCAAAGCCCTATCAGCCTCTGAGGCCCACTCACAACTAATGAACAAGAAACGAGACTTTCAGCTATGATAGTTGGAGCGTAANAGAGGAAATGGAGAAAGAGTCAGTGTAAGGCATACCAAGTCTCCTAGGAACACCCCCATCGTGTTGGTACCAAAGCCCTATCAGCCTCTGAGGTCCACTCACAACTAATGAACAAGAAACGAGACTTTCAGCTATGATAGTTGGAGCGTAATCCCGTAAGCAACCTACCACCTCTCATGGTAAAATAGTATCACCCTCTATTTGAGCAGGAGTTTCACTCAAATTATAAGCCGCATGGAACTCCTCAGGAGAAGCATCTTCGTGGTGGACCTTTCTCCACAATATTAGAAAAGCCCAGCAAAATCCTCAAACCATTGGGTGCACTAAATTCTTAGAAAGAAATGTAAAATATTGATAAGAAAACAAATGTTGAAACCAATGATCAAACTGGAATTGTTCCTGATGATGATGTCCAGCTTGTAATGGATCTTGTAGGTGCTGGAAGTTATAGAAATAGATCCTATACTCCAACTTTGGAATGTGGTAAGGCGTATAAAAAACAAGTGGATTAAGAAGAAGGGCAAGGCCATTTGAATAAGCAATGTCTTTTTTCTTCTGATTCCACTTTTTTGATTGACCATCAATATGTATGTAAAGAGGGTAGTGGTTGTTGTCTGAATGATGAAAAGGGTTTGTAGATTAGTAGGGAGCCACTTGATAAGGGTTTCCATATAGATGAGGAGTTGTCAACTAGTGTTGATTGTTTTGAAGTGGCTTCTCATGATTCAGAGACTGGTGAAAGCTATGGATTGAACCACAATTCACAGGACATTCCTTAGTCAAGCATGGTTACTAGATCAAAATCTAGAAAAGTCACTTTTTCAAACACTTTAAATGATTAATTTTTTAACTAGGAATATTAGGGGGGTAAGGAAAGATGCCACATGAAGGCGTCTCAAGAATTTAGTTAAATTAATTAAATTCAAGGATGCTTGTTTAGTTGAAATTGTAGAACCTAAGCAATCTTCTTCTAAATTGTTAGGTTTTTCTTCTAGTCTGAATATGAGTTCTTATCTTGCTAATCATGTTGCAGAGAAGAACATGTGGATACTCTGGGAAAATAGGTTAAAAGTTACTACTTTGAATGTTTATGCTCAATCATTGACTTTTGAAGCTTCTTTTATGGGTTTTGCATCAGTTTTTGTGACTTTAGTTTATGCTGCTTGTGATTATCTCTTAAGAAGTCCTCTTTGGGAACATTTGTTGAATCTAAATCTTTCTTTTAACCCTTGGTTGCTTATGGGATATTTTAATGATATTCTTCACTCTTCAAAGAGGCAAGGAGGTGCCATTCCCAATTTTGTTTCCATGGATGAATTTGGAACTTTTTGCATTCTGGAGGCTTACTGGAATGTGGATTTAGTGGTAGTAGTTACACTTGATGTAATAACCATCAAGGCAGGTCCAGGATGTGGCAAAGACTAGATCTTGCATTATTAAATTAAGAATGAAATGTAATGTTTGGAATTGCAGAAGTTGATCATTTAGCAAGAGGTAAATCAGATCATAATCCTTTGTATGTTAAGTTTGAAGAGCAACAAGTCCAAACCAGGATTTCTTGTTTCAAGTTCATACACATGTGGGTGGAACATCCTTCTTTTTTGCATTTGGTTAGGCATAATTGGGGTGGACATTATTCAGCTGATCCTATAAAGAATGTGTTCTTGAGGCTTAAGAAGTACTTGAAGTCTCACTTGAAGCTTTGGAATAATTTTTTTTTATAATATTTTTGAGAGAATAAAGAGACAAGAGGGGTTACCGTTAGAAGTTGAGAAGGAGATGGAGTTACTTCTTTCTAACATTAATAATCAATCCTTGGTGGAGGCTCAAAGGAAGCTGGAAGACACACTGAGATTAGAGGAAATTTATTGGAAACAAAAGGCAAATGTGAGATGGGTTATAGAGCGGGAAAGAAATACAAGATTTTATCATGCAATGGCCAAGGGTAAAGCTTTCAGGAATAAGCTTATAAGGATAAAGGATGAGGATGGATTATGGTTGGAGAATGAACATCAAATGGTTACTTGTGCTACAAGTATTTTTTCTAACCTTTACACTTCTAAATCCCGTTCTTTGCAAAAAATTATTCGAAAGGAGAGGGGATTAAACAAAAGTGAATCATCTTTATAAGAGGCAAAATTTTCGTCCTAGAGAGAGAAACTCCACCTTTTCTCTAGCTTTTTTCCTCGAATCTTCATTTCTTCATTTTCCTTTGAATTTTCTTACTGGTTTTTCTTAATTTTTGTAATTTCTTTCTTGAATCTGATGTTCTTTACACTATGAGCTTAGATCTACATCTGATTCCCCCAAAACCCCCAAACATAACTCAAAATTTTGCTTCACTGTTTAAAGCTCCCATGAACATTTCGGGCTCTCTTGAGTCTGGGAATTCTTTGGAAAATGCTTTAGATCCTTCTGATTCTTTATTGGGTGCTTTGGGTATGCCTCATACTTCATCTGATCAGATAAAACCTGCGAAGAGAGTTGTATTTAACAATGGAGAACCTGGAATGTATTGGACCTCTGCCAAAACATTAGAGCTGTCTAAAAGCTTTAATCAAACTTTAATAGGTAAATGTGCATACGGGAAACCTTCCTTGGGTGTAATTAGATAGTTTATTCTGTCTAGATGGATTCCCAAAGGTGATTTCTATGTAGGTATCTTGGATCCTAGGCATGTGCTTATTTGTTTTTCTCCATTTGAAGATTATGTTAAAACGTGGTTAAAGGATGCTACCTATATTGAGGGTTTCCTATTTAGATTCTTCAAAGGGTTCCTTGAGTTCTTGCCAGGGATTGAACCCCCAGTTGTTCTAATGTGGATCTCCTTACCTGGGCTCCCTATTCACTTGTTCAATGGAGAAAGTTTGCGTGATATTTTGAGTCCAGTTGGTAGGAATTTAATGATTGATAACTCTACACTGCAACTGTCGAGACCAAGAGTTGCTTGTGCCTGTGTCGAAGTGAATTTATTAGCAAATAATCCTAAGAGATTCTAGCTTGATATGGGTAGAACCAGTAGTAGATGGTAGCGAATTATTTATGAGAAAGACAATAATTATTGTTCACTTTGTTTGAAGCAAGGTCACGATGACCTCTACTGTAGGAAGAAAGTTAAAGAAACTGAGAGTGTGAAGGTTGGAAAAGTGAAGGTATCCTTAATGACAAAGGATAAAGGTAAGGAGAAGACTTCTTCGTCTCGTGCTGGGCAAGAAGATGCTAAAATGCTTGTAAAAGAAAAGGATGCTAGTCAGTTGAAAATTGGGGGTATGCAAAGGAAGGAATTAAAACATAAATCTATTTTACAGGAGAACATATTTGAGGCGTTGAATTCAATTGATAGGGATGATTCTTTGTGCTTGGATAAAGGGGATTGCTCTAATAAGGGTGAATCCTTGGATCTAGTGAGGGGTGGTAAGGAAAGGGATGTAATTAATGGAGAAGTAAATGAAGCTTTGAATGATGTTATTGATGTGGAAAAAGATGGAGTAATGAATCAAGGTGTAGATTAACAACCTGAAGTTGTAGTGTTGCAGGAGGATCTAGTAAATGTTTAGCTTCAAATGAATAAAACTCTAGAGCACTCAGGTCCTAGTGAAGATGTCATTGATCTTTGCAAAGGAAGTGTGGATGTAAATCAGGAGGTATTGGATAATTGTGATATCAATAAGAGTTTTCCTCCATCTTTAGAGGATTCTTTCTATGTTGACAGGCATTATGTGAGTAAAGGTCCTTCTGGGTGTGTTATGGATGATGAAAGGGGGATTATTGGAGAAAAAGAACCCCTAGATAGGGGGTATTATTCTGATAAAGGAGCTTCAAGGAATGTGAGAGGAAGACTGGATGATGGATATGGTAATGAGAGCTCTGTGGAATCTGATTCTATTTATTTGGAGTTCTCATATGCTGAGGTGGGAAATAGACTTGAGTCTAGAGATAATAATATCTCTTCCATGATATGTTTAATTTTCTATCTTGGAACTTAAGAGGTACAGGCAAATCTGCCCAGAGGAAAAGATTAAAGAAGCTTATTAGAATTCATGGGGTGTGTATTGCTACTGTTTTGGAACCTAAAACTAGAGGTAGTAAAATTCATGGTTTTGCTAGGGCTGTTGGTATGTCTCATTATATGTTTAATTCTCCGGCTAAGAAGTACATTTGGTTGTTATGGGATGATAAAGTGGATGTTTCTTTGCTATTTGAGCATGAGCAGGCTTTAACCTCTGATGTGTCTTATATAGGTTATGAGAAAGTTGTCATTTCTGTAGTCTATGCAAGTTGTGAACACTTGGTTAGAAGGTCCTTATGGGAGCATTTGTTGTCTTTGTCTATTCCAGCTTCTACGGCATGGATGGTGATTGGGGATTTTAATGTTGTGTTACATTTTGAGGAGAGGTTGGGTGGAGCCTATCCATCATCTGTGTCTATGGGGGATTTTAATGATTTCTTGTATGAGGCTGGTTTGATGGATGCTGGCTTTGTGGGGAGTAGGTTTACATAGTGTAATAATTGTTAGGGCCAGGCCAGAATGTGGTAGAGGATTGATAGAGTTCTTTTGAATTCTAGTTGGGATTCTTTATTGGGAAGATCTGAGGTTCTGCATTCAGCCAGGGGTAAGTCTGACCATTCTCCATTGCTTTTTAAAGTTCATAGTTCTCAATCTCAGCGTGTGTCTTATTTTAAATTCCAAGATATGTGGATTGCTGATTCTAGTTTCTTACCTTTGGTGACTGCTCATTGGAATGGTGAGTATTCTGCAAATCCTATTGAAAATTTATTTATAAGATTGAAGTATTTAAAGTGGCATTTGAAAAAATGGAACAAAGATGTATTTGATAACATTTTTGATAGAATTAAGGTCAAGGAGTTGGAAATGGCCAGTGCTGAGTTGTTGATTGAGCAATGTAATTCTTTGGAGAATGTTCATGCTATGGAAAAGGGGCAGAGTGAGATGGATGACCTTTTAAAAATGAAAGAAACTTATTAGAGACAAAAGGAAAATGTGAGATGGGTTGTGGATGGGGGAGAGAAACTCTAGATTTTATCATGCACTTGCTAAGGGTAAGGCAAGAAGAAATAGAATTTCCAGAATTCAGAATAGTGAAGGAGTATGGGTCCACTCTGATGATGGAATTGGCTGCATTGCTGAGGAGTTTTACTCTTCTCTTTATAAGTCAGAATCTTATTGTCTTCAGGAAGACCTTTTTTCTGTTATTCCACATTTGGTTAGTGATCTTCAAAATGCTAAGTTAGTGAAAGATGCTTCATTGGAAGAGGTTTGAAATGTGATTTTTTCTATGTTTCCTCATAGTGCTCTTGGAGTAGATGGGTTATCTGGTGGGTTTTATCAGGTTACTTGGGATGTTATTGGGCAAGATGTATTAAAGGCAGTGAATTATTTTCTCCAAGGTGGATTGATTCCAAGGTCTGTTAATGCTACACTGTTAACTTTAATTCCCAAGAAGATTAATCCTTTTTCTTTTGCTGATTTTAGACCTATCAAAAGACACCAATATGTAACTGTTCCCAATGAATAGAGACTATATGACTTACCACTAGACCACCAATTTGAGCAATTACTCGAATTAAGTTCAAATATCAAAAATTTGGACTAGAAGGAAGGCAAAATCGAAACCCGTGCGAATTCAAATCCAACGGGTATTGAAATTAAATTCTGGTTCAGAAACTCACGCCCAATTCTGTAAATGAATTTTCTCTAAAAAGATAAAGACTTGGTCTAAACCACACCCGTACCCATATTCGAGCCCAGTTGAGCCGGGTTGTGGTCATGGCAAGGCAAGGTGGGCAGAGTGATTGAACTGATGGCATGTAAGCCCTTGCTCCACTCATAAAATTGTGATACTCCTTGGGGCCCAATCTCATAGAGTAATCTTGGCTTATATATGCCCATATAGAACTTCTTCCTCAATCAATGTGGGATTGGTGTCAATTGCCACATTGCACAACTTTCATTTTCACATTTCAAGAGAGTCACTTCTGAGACTATTTTTTCTATTCATTTCTTACTCAATTTGAGCAACTGAATATACTCTGTTATTCTCCTCACAAAATAGAATACGATCCCATGAAAGTTTATTCGAAACAACGAGTGGGTTCTACTTTAATTTAGGCTCAAAGTCGATCAAAAATCAAATTTTAATTACTAAAATCTGGCTTTAGTACAACATTCATAAACGTATAGATACAATTCTAGTATATGTATTTTAGGTATTGCATGTGTTAAAATGTGATATTTGGTATGAATTTTGGGTAATACATGTAGGATTACCATAATACTTGTGTAGATGTGTAAGCAAAATTAGTGTTATTGCTTGAAAAATAAAAAGAGTGGAATTGTTGTGTGTAGGGTGAGTTTTGGCCAAGAGAGGGAGTAGGTTGGTGGGTAGCTTAGGAATCTTTTTAATTGTTTTTGAATTCTCATGAAATCCATGGGTATGAGTAATTACAAGAAAATATGTAATTTTATGAAATTATGGAAAATTATGCAAATTTAAGTACACTTTTGTGAAGTTTATAATTTTATGAGAAAGGTTTAATTTGGGAGTACTTGGTTTGAAAAAATATTGCTTTAACGGATTCATGAAGACTAGTTCAAACCGATCTGAGTAAATAATTTTATTCGATGTAAATGGATTACTTCACTTGACTCGAGTTGATTATCAAACTATTAATTTAATTGATTCGAGTATATAATGTTACTCGATGTAAATGAATTATTTAATTTGACGCGATATAATCACTAAATTCGGTTCGAATAAACCATTTTCGAACTTAAATGGTATTAATTATTAATACTCGAGTGAAATTGTGAATATTGAGGATGTCAGGTCTGGAGACGAGCACCGCAAAGGACGTCACACTAAAAGCTCCAGCGCAGGGGTAGTCTACAACGAGATAGAACTTTTTGCGAGGTTGGTGTGCTATCTTACATTTTCTTTATGCATAAATAATTAAGTTTTTGTTTGACTACCTATTTGATGATTTATGTTGAGATTCAATAATTGAGTGTTATAATATTGTTGGGGAACGGAGATTGTCTAAATGACGAAGTAAGCCTTTGTGGTCTAGGTTGATTGAGTGATAGAACATGTGCATACGATTCAAGATGACTATTTGTGATTGATGAACTTATTTGTGATTGTGATTTGTCCTTACGATAAGACAAACATTATGGAAATTGAATTGTTGAATATAGGTTGTCTTTGTGACAAGAATTAACCTTGTGATTTCAGGTTGTCCACGTAACGAGAAATTTAAGTGGTTAAGGGCTGTCTATATGACAAAAATTTGTGGTTGATACGAGACGTCTACATGACAAGACTAAGTGTTCGACTTGGGTTGTCTTCGTGGAGGGAGAAAATAAAGTAATTGCACATTATCTAATGATGACAATTAAATGATTAATATGAGTCCTCTACGTGCTAGAAATCAACTATGTGACTCTAATTGTCTACGTGACAAAAAGAAAAACAAGCTAAGTGGTTTGGGAAGTCTAAAATTTGTGTGATGTTTTAACCTTTCGAAACATGTTGCCAGGGTGGCAAAATGACTATATCTTGGTTAGATAGTAATGCAACAAAGCAAGATTCTGCGTTAAGATTAGGGGGTAATGAATAATATATTCTTGCAAATGAACTTATCATATTATGGTTTTTAAGAAGGGAGGGTTGTCAATTTGAGCGTCAATATTATTATTTGAACCTAATTTAGAGAATTAATCTAAGAATTTATTCAAGTGTATCTGTTGGGTTGAAAGTGAGATCTACTTAACCTTGAAATTTATAACTAATCTAATGGAAGCAATAAATTAGGTGCTGATTAGATCTCTAAATTAAGTTTATATAACATCTATATAATAAAGTACAACATAAAAAAATATTTTTTTCTTTTCACTGTTGAGATTATTTTAAATTTTATTTTAAAATTAATCTGATGACTAATATTAACTCCCTAAATTTAATAACAAAAATAGGCCCCCAAATGATTTATTTGGGGTGACTTTTCAAAAGTGATTCATGAACTTATGATTTCTCATAACCACTTTTTTTTGAAAAAAAAAAGAAAATAAAATTTGTTAAAAAAAAACATTTCTCATGAGCCTACACACTTTTAAAAAAAAAAATAATAATGTTTGTAATAATATTTGGTGAAATAATGTTATTTTTAACTTTTATTTATTATTAATCTCCTAAGCCTTATGTCAAAATTATGTTTCGAACTTCTTATTATTATATGTTTAATAATCTCCTTACGTTTAAAATTATAAATGTCCATCAATTAAATAAATTATTAATAATTTTATTTAATTAATTTTTTTTTTCCTTGAGACCTTACCACTCAACTTATTTGTCATGTTGGATAATTAAATTTACCTGCAGAGTTTGACATGAACAAAATTTTTTCAAGAGGACATCATCAACCTATTTAATATATCCGAACGTAGTTTTCTTTAATAATTAATTTTCACCATACAAATAATATCGTCTCTCAATTCACCAAGCTTATTGACTTAATATGAATCTCACTCTTTGATAAATTAAAATGACAATCATTAAATGCACGTGGCGATTAAATATCTCGGGATTAAGAGTATAAGCAATCATAATCATTATGAGATATTTATTATCTTATTCAATCAATAAAAACTAATAACCTTAACATGAGTCTATTTAATACACAAAGTGTACTAGTGCAATAATCCGAGACATCAAACCATCTCCTATAGTCAAGACAGACTATGTCAGAATATTATATTACAATCATATTGATGGTGTGTGTAATTCTAATCTAAGATTGTGAACATATATTCATATTATACAATAATTCGATAATCTAGTTTTCTATGCATAAGTCGAATTTTATACACCAGATTATCTATAATGTAAAATATAAGACACACATGCATACCATATATCAAATATAATGCAAACATTTTGCCTACATAAATTCTCAATAAAATGGAAAAAAATAAACTCCTATTAATTAATAAAATGAGTTTCACTGCAAAAAGTAAGTTTTTAGTGTATAACTTTATCAAACCATCACCACTGTTGTCAACCATCACCAATTGTTACCATTGCCACCCACCACCACTTACCATCGCCACCCACCACCACTGCCACTTAACATTATCATTATTTCATTTTTATATTTATTACTACTACCGCTATCATCCCGCCACCACCCACCACAATCGTTGCCCCATTACCACAAACCACCACCCACTACCACCTGTCTTCGCCCAGTGTCACCCATCCCCACCACCATCGTCACCCACAAAACACCCATCGTCGCCTACCATCACTTACACCCATCATCATAGTCGTCACCACCCACCATCATCGTCGCCCCACCACCACTACTGCTATCATCTATGGTTGCCATTACCATTATTATCATCCAAAAACAATCACCACTACCACTACCACTGCTCAATCTCACTAAAATAAGTACTTAAATTTATTTATTTTTCTTTTATATTTGTGATTTTATTTTATATGTGACTACAAATATATTTATGATTGACTATTTTTTTTTACTTCGTACTTTTATGGACGAGTAATAATTAGTTGCTTGATAAAAAAAGAGAAACAAAGATGTCATTGCACCGGATGAGTTGTGCTTTTTTTTTGCCATATCGGGACGCTATAAATTTTATTGGATGCAAGAACTTTCAAATTCTCTTACATGAGTTTGTAATTCTCCGCCCTTTTTTTTTTTTTTTTTTTTTTTTGGAAGTTCTTGGCTCACTATTTTAGGAAATTGTTATAAGAAAAAAGGAAAAAAGGAAAAAAGAAAAAATAGTTATCGGTCTATCCATTCGTCAGTAGTCACCCCACAAAAGTCTTAGGTCATGACATCATGGACCACGAGACCTAGCCAACATGAATCATGGGTGGCTCCGGCACTACGTTTTCCAAATTCAACGCTATTTCGGATTGATGACGTGTACGGTTCGGATTCAACCTCACTCGCATCGTAGATTTGAGACGCCCTTTACTTTATATTCTCTTTCCTCCCCAAAGCTCCTCATCTTCTCACAGACCCTCCGCTCGTGTCTTTCTCTGTCCATTCGAAATCAGATCTCTCACGACGTTCCACAATCGCCGAACAAGGTTAACGCCATCTTAAAGGGTCTCTATCCGATTAGATCCAAAATCAAGATCGAGGCTACTATAAATTTCAAATCTCAGAGATCTAGGGTTAAAATTATACCAGAACCCTAAATTTGAAATTTTTTTCCCTTTTGTTGATAAGATCTATTATTTTCTGCAAAATCAGATCGGTGGATATAAATCTTTTGTATTTGTATCTATAAATCAGTGGTAGATTGTGTTGACATATGCTTATAGCTGATTTGAGTCGATTTGTATTAGAATTTAACAACAATCGAGAACAACGAACCCTTGAAGTAAGTATGGTCAAAAAAGAGGAAGAATGTAAATCAGTTCACGATGTAGAGGAAGGAGAAATCTCCGATTCGGCTTCAGTTGAAGAAATCAGTGCAGCGGACTTTATCAAGCCAGAGTCAAAGGTTTCGATTTCGAATACTTCGACTAACTCGGATTCGAAGCCTAGGGTTTGGACGATGCGGGATATGTACAAGTATCCGATGTCAAGAAATTGCGCTTCGGATTTGTATAATTTTGCTTGGGCTCAAGCTGTTCAGAATAAACCTCTCGCTGAGATTTTGAGGATGGAGTTGAAAGCAACTGAAAATTCCGACTTGAAAATGTCTTCGTCTTCAAATTCGTTGAGTAGTAGAGAGGATAATAAGAGTGGTAGTGTGAATTCCTCGGCACAGGATTTGGATAGTAAAGTAATAATTGATGTTGATGATGATGTGAAGATGGAGGAAGGCGAGAAGGAGGAGGGCGAATTGGAGGAGGGTGAGATTGATTTGGATTTTGATGTTGTTGAACAAGAGGACTCGAACAAGAATTGGTTGGACGCTAGTGAATCAGACTTTAATGTTAAAGAGGATGAGTTGGAGAAGCGGGTTGATTCAATTCGTGAAGTGCTTCGGAGTGTAAATGTGGATGATGCGATGAAGTAAGTTAACTCTTTCTAGGTGAAAATTGGGAGTTCAATCACTAAGCACAGATGAAATAAAGTACTGAGGTTACTAACAACTGGGGTTCATTAGATTGACTTTTGGTGATTTGTTTCTTGTAGATCATATTCCGGAGTCTGTTCTAGGCTGCAAAACTCGTTGGAAAACTTGCAGGAAGTAGTCTCCAATAATTGGTTTCTTACAAAAGATGCTCTTGTTCAACTATCATTTACTGCCATTCAAACTGTTAATTCTGTAAGATATCCATTATCTCTGAGTTCGATGGTTTATTTGCCTTAAATCTTTTAGTTTCAGTCATCATTTACAAGTGGTATTATATAACAGTTAGGCAGTTCAAAATATAATTCTTTTAGAGGCTAAGTTTTAGTTTATTGCAGGTGTTGTGCTCCATGGGCCCAAATCAAATGGAACACAATAGAGACACTATGTCAAGGTTTTAGTTGCCGTTATTGCATTGTCTCTATGGTTTTTAAGTTTTTCTTTCATCTGTATCCCATGATAGATGTGTTAGTTATCCTCATTCCTCTAAATTTTTTTACAGGTTGCTTGCTTATGTAACAAGCCTAAAGCCTCCTCTTTTTCCTTCAGAACAGATGAAAAAGGTCTGACCTTATATAACTTACATTAGTTCAAGGAGTGTGTCCAGTAGCTATGGAAAGCTAACATGGTGTATGTTGTCACAGATAGACGTCATGAAGTTGTTCCTGGAGTCTTCTGCTATTTCTTCGAGTGCTAAAGACTGCCATAAAGAGAATGAGTCAGAGGTCACTGAGAGGGTGAATCAGAATGATTCTGATTCTTTGGCTGAGAATACTAATCAAGATTTGACGTCTTCAAAGAAGTGTGCATTAGACTCGATGTCAACAGCATCTTTGGATCAGAAAGACCACCACACTTCATTAGATTCTTTGAAATCAGGAGCACCTGGTTATAAGGGTAGAGGAGTGTTGCTTCCTCTGCTGGACCTTCATAAGGACCATGATGCAGACAGTCTTCCATCTCCCACAAGGGAAACTGTACCACTCTTGCCCACAAACAAAGCAATTGTTTTTGGAGATGGGGTGGTGAAACCAGAGTTGCACATACCTCGGGGAGCTTTTGAGACAGACAATACTTCAATGCATCGTTATGAAACTGATGCCCTCAAAGCTGTCTCCTCCTATCAGGAAAAATTTGGTCGAAGTTCATTTCTTATGAATGATAGACTTCCTAGTCCAACCCCTTCAGAAGAAGCTGATGATGTGCATGGTGATATTGGTGGTGAAGTTTCCAGTTCTTCAATTGTTCGGAAGGTCAACTCTCTGAGTGCACCAGCTTCTACCTCGATAATTGTATCTTCTGTGCCCCATATGGACATCACCAGTGGACAAGTATTGGCCAATGCTAGTAATGCTGGTCCTTTGAGCTCTGGGCCTAATTCTATTTTGCGAGCTTCAGCAAAAACTAGAGACCCTAGGCTCCGATTTGCCAACTCTGATGCAGGTGCTTTGAATTCAAACCACCACCGGTCGCCCACAGTGAATAATGAACCAAAAGTGGTGCCCCTTGTGGGCATAATAAATTTGAGGAAGCAAAAGACTTTTGAGGAGCCTGTTCTTGATGGTCCAGCATCAAAAAGGCAAAGGAATGGGTTGACAGATGTTGGGGTGGGTAGGGATGTGGAAACTATGTCAAGAAGTGGGGGTTGGTTAGAAGATAGAGGCACCATTGGATTGCCTGTTATAAATAGAAACCATGTGGTGGGAAATGTGGGACTAGAACCAAGGAAATTAGAAAATTCAGTAACTTGTTCTGGTACTAGTGGTGTGCCTGCTGGAAATGTGCAATTACCAGTTACAGGCACCTGCACCACTGATCCGTTGCATTCTCTGCTTAAAGATATTGCTGTGAATCCTGCAATTTGGATGAATTTAATTAAACTGGAACAACAGAAGTCTGTTGATCCTGCAAAAAGTATAACCCCTCCTCCAAGCTCGAATTCCATACTGGGAGCAGCTCCAACAATGAATATTGCTCCTCCTAAGCCTGCACCACCTGAACCGAGATCGGTTGGAATACTTCAGACTCCTAAAACAGCTTTGGTGGTGAGAATCTAATCACACTTCCAATTGAGAAAGCAAAGTTTATAAACGTGTGATACATTCTTCTTAAATCAAACTTCAAGTTCTTGATGCCTTTGCTGAAAAGTTAAAAATAAACTTGGTATCCGCCCCCTCCAACTGGGAAAAACCCCCCATAATTGTGCAGCACAGTTCTTTTCCTTTGTTTGTTTGCCCCTTGATGAGCATTTATTGCCTTCAAAATTTAGTTACTGATGATTTCTGCTAGAAATCATTTTTTGAAATATCTTGTGGTCTCAGCTGTATGAGTATATTTTGCAAATTCTGTCTTTCTTGCTAAGCCGCATTTATCTTCAGTTTAATTTTCAATTCTTTTAGTTGTTTGATCTTGAAACAATCTTCATTTAAGAATGATTTCTACCCCTCTCAAACAAAATTACATGACCAAGAAAGGTTTTATGTTCTTAATATTAAATTCTGTCACTGCAAATTTATTTGTGCTTTCATTTTTGAACTTTGAGAATGTTTATCTGTTTATGGAATAAGCAGGATGAGTTGGGAAAAGTCCGCATGAAACCTCGTGATCCTCGCCGGATCCTCCACAGTAACACAATCCAAAAGGGTGGGTGCACAGGATCTGATCAATCCAAGATAATGACATCAAATGGTCAGGGCCAAAGTCAAGAGGACCAGTCAGATAAAAAGTCTGTGTCTTCACAATCCATTACACCACCAGATATTACTCGGCAATTCACAAAGAATTTGAAAAATATTGCTGATATTATGTGTGTTTCCCAAGCATCCATGACTCCCGTGGCAGTTCCTAAGATTTCTTCATCACCACCAGTACAAGTTCATTCGAGTAGGGTGGATGTAAAAGTTGTAGTTTCAGAATCTAGCAACCTGCAGAGTGGCAGTGGCTCGGCATCTGAAGAACCTGTTGGGGGGCCCTCTCAATCACAGAACAGTTGGGGAGATGTTGAGCATCTATTTGAGGGATTTGATGACCAACAAAAAGCAGCTATCCAAAGAGAGAGGGCAAGGAGGATTGAAGAACAGAAGAAAATGTTTGCTGCCCGCAAGCTCTGCCTTGTCTTGGATTTAGATCACACTCTCTTAAATTCAGCGAAGGTGTGATAATTTGTTAGAAGAATGGTTCTCGGAATAGAGTTCTTATGAAATAATTTTCATGACTAATATTCATGCTTTTTCAGTTTGCTGAAGTAGAGCCTATGCATGATGAGATTTTGAGAAAGAAAGAGGAACAGGACCGCGAAAAGCCACAGAGGCATCTCTTCCGGTTTCCTCACATGGGGATGTGGACCAAATTGCGGCCTGGGATCTGGACTTTTTTGGAGAAGGTAATCTGAATCTCTAATTTTTTTGCATGTACTAAATTTGCACTTTGAGAGCATTGCGAAGTTTTTAATGCCTTCTTATATATGCATTTTAGGCTAGTCAGCTTTATGAGCTGCACCTTTACACAATGGGGAACAAGCTCTATGCTACGGAGATGGCAAAAGTGCTTGATCCAAGAGGGAATTTGTTTGCTGGACGAGTTATCTCTAAGGGTGATGAAGGGGATCTTTTTGACGGTGATGAGAGGGTTCCTAAGAGCAAGGATTTGGAGGGGGTTTTGGGTATGGAATCGGCTGTTGTAATTATAGATGATTCTGTAAGGGTCTGGCCACATAACAAACTAAACTTGATTGTTGTAGAAAGGTTAGTTTGTCTTTGATTCTAAATGTCCATGGCATAGTTATATTCTATTGCTTATGTCCTTTATGTGGCGTCGTTCTTGCAAGACTATCCTTATCTTGAACTATATGTTTGGCAGGTATATTTATTTCCCTTGTAGTAGACGCCAATTTGGGCTTCCAGGTCCTTCTCTGCTTGAGATTGATCATGATGAAAGACAAGAAGATGGGACTTTGGCATCTTCCTTGGCGGTGAGATGGTTTTTAATCACCATGAGAGTCTTGCTAAAACTGACCTTTCCTTTTCTGATTACCTTGTTGTTTCCTGAACTATAGGTGATTGAGAGAATACATCAAAATTTTTTCTCAGAACTGTCGTTAGATGATGCTGATGTTAGGAATATCTTAGCATCAGAACAGCATAAGATTCTGTCGGGGTGCCATGTAGTTTTCAGCAGGGTGTTTCCAGTTGGTGAAGCCAATCCTCACTTGCATCCTCTGTGGCAGACAGCTGAACAGTTTGGTGCAGTGTGCACTACTCAGATAGATGAACAGGTTACCCATGTTGTTGCCAACTCTCTTGGGACTGATAAGGTATTTTTACTTTTCAAACAATTCATTGGATATTTCAGAAAAAAAAAATTCATTTTTAAGCCGACCGAAAACCTGTGGAACATTCAAAATAGCTTGTAGTTTGTGTTTCTCAAAATGTGCTGTGGGAGTGGGGCATTAATCATTCTTCTCCTCTTTGGTATGAGTTTCTTTAAGTAGGTATCAATTTATCCTATTATTTCATTGAACTGTAGTGTATTTCTGGCTATACGGTAGTTGCCAGGGATATTAAATCAGGATGTCTTTTGTGTTGTGTGATTTTGAAATTCTGCTTGTAATGTTGGACTAAATATATCCTGTTTTTCTTCCACAGAAGATGCTTCATCATGGCTTATGTTCCAACCTTTTTATTTAATTCGTGGCCTTACTTTATTTTTTATTTTTTTCCGAATAGGTGAATTGGGCTCTTTCCACGGGACGATTTGTTGTGCATCCTGGCTGGTAAGCATTGTTTCTGGCTTTTAGTTCAGTTGCACGGTCTTTTGCAATTGCTTTGTAGTTGGATTTAACATTATGTTTATTTTCCAACAAAAAAAAAAAAAAAAAATTACGCAGGGTGGAGGCATCAGCTTTGCTTTACCGGAGAGCAAATGAGCAGGATTTTGCCATTAAACCATAAACAATCACCCTTCCTTGCCATCCGCTAAAAAAAACACCCGAAGTATAAAATCAAGCACCAAATGGATGGGGTGGGGAAGGGACCACCAAGCTAAACCTTTGATAGAATTGTTAAATGGCGATTCTCGTTAGAATTGGTAGGTAACCCATCCGGAGGACTTCCCTGACCTGGCCTGGTCTTAAATTCTAGCAATTTTCGCTGCCCTGATAGTAGAGGTTAGTTTGTGGTAAATGAGTTCGGGTGGGAGGCCGATCGGCCTGGCAGCTATTGGAGCAGCTGCTTCATAGGAGTATCCTCTTTGGCGGCGTTGACTGATTTTATTTGACCAAAGCTAAATGTGAAAGCAGTTTCAGAGTTTTTGGGAGGCTACATGGACGAATAAGTAAATCCATCTCTCAAAATTTCAGTTTTCAAGTGGAAGTTCGGCTAAGAACAGTTAATGATGAGACTAAACACCCAAACCAATTACTTAAAGAGAGACTGGGAAGACAATTATTAAATGGCTTAAAATGTCATTCTTTGCTTAATTTCACTATGGATCAAAGAATAATCTGTTACTACTGATGGTTGATCAGCTAAGCTAAGTTTTGATTTTAATAAGGATCTTCATCGATGTGCCTGAAGAAAAGTAATAGGGGCCATTTGTTTTTCTATTTCATTTTATTTTGGACGTGGGAATAATGAAACTATTTTTCCACATTATTCGTCAATATTCGCAGAATTGTAGTGAAAGTGTATACAATTACAAGGTAAAATCACGCAGGTCGTACTCTAATGTTGGGTGATGGGGAAAGGTATATGGTAGTTGTGTCCTGGCAATAAAATTGCGTGCGAGTTTTATGGCCTGCGATTGAGACATAAGGAGGAGGTCTCACTTTCTCTCTCTCTCTCGGCAGTCGGCTTGCCACGTACGACCAGCTGATGTATTTAAACCTCCAATTGCAGAAGAAACTAGAAACAATTTTATAAATGGGGCGGCCAAATCAAGCTGAGTATTTTTCTCCGACTTGTGAATAGAAGTATAATACTGTATAATTTTCAGGGAGGCAAAATTAGGACCGTAGATGGGTTTGATAGTATACTAATACATCAGATTTTATTAAAACGCTACAGTTAAGCATGGATGAGAGTAGTATTAAGATGGTGACCTTTTGGGAAGTTTTTTGTGTTACTTTCCTAAAAATTAGGCATGTAAATGGAATAAATTTTAATTGGAGTTTGTTTTAAATTTGAATTTGATTAATCGAATATAGATTGATATTTTTTATCGATAATATAAATTTAAATTTGTTATATTATATTTAATAAATTTAGATTTAGATATAATGATATTTAGTTTGATTAATTATAATTTGATATGAATTATACATTTATGTTAATTATTATATAATGAAATTAAGTAATTATTTGATAAAATTATATTAAATATTGGATTGGATTTAATTTGTTAAATAACAACTTAATATAATTATTGGAATTGTATTCGATTGGATTGTCTGGTTGAATATCCTAATTATAATAGATTCAGATATTAGCTATGTAAATCAGAACTTTTAAAACATATTTTGATTTAGATTGAGTGAAATCTAATTCAAACCAATTTGTTGATAGAACTAGGCAAGAACAAGAAAAGTTTATAGGCGTTTAACATTTAGTCCTTTGAAATTTAAAATGTTATATTTAAATTAAAAATATTTTAATTAAAGATAAAATATCAAATACTAAAAAACACAAACCAAACGCACCATAAATTATGCCAGTTGGATGAGCTGACACAGAGAAATGATAAGAGAAACTACCAAATTATCTTTATTAGTGTCTGATGGATTGTATCAGTAACTTTGTCCTGGATACGGACGACAGGGGTATGGAGCTCGAATTAGTGCTCTTGCTCGGACATTGATTCTCAGAGAACGGTACTTCAAGTACATGTGGGCCTCCACATCTTTCTTGTTGAGAGATTTGAAAACTTGTCAAAGAGAAATTGGAGAGTTGGAAACCAGTGTGTTTCTAGCCGAACCACCTTTGATGTCTAAGTCAAAGAATTGGTTCTTGTAAGATAAAACATTATAGTGAAAATAATAGAATGCTAGGGTTTTCTCCCTCTTTTGTCTGGTTCGTTTAATGCGGTTATTCTACCTTTAAACCCTTATTAATGCTGGTTTATATAGGTGAGCTTAAGTGTTTGAGTTGTCTAAGGGACCATCATTACCCTTAAGCATGCACCGCTAAGTGTAGCTTAAGTTAGCCTATGCTTGACTCCCATCGTGTGTAAGTGGCTATTCTGAGCCTAGCAAGTATTGTCAAATGGAGAATGCCACGTAGCTGTTCCTCCTTGATAATGGTGTGCATGTGGTTGTTGACGTGTTCTCTCGAGGTCTGATAACCGACATTCGAGTTTCGAAGTCTAGATAATTATGCATCATTGCCCCTATTCCTCAGGACCTACCATTAGGGTTGGTCATTGGGAATTATGAGATCGGTCTCTTGGCGTTGTGGAGGTTTTTTTTTTATGATTATCTTGATTTGACATTTTTGTCTTTTTGTGGGTTTTGAAAGATCGTTTTGGTACCTTTTCAAAATTGGAGGATGGCGCATTTATGTGCTATTTTTTTGTTTCACATCTATTGTTTTTCCTTTATGCCACGTGTTGGTTCCCTAGCGTTCTTTGGTCTTTTGAACTCTCCACTATTGGATTCTAATCAATCTAGTTCTTTTCTTATGGGTATAGATATCCTTATTCTTCTCTCTTTTTCCACTTCTTTCCATTTGAAGTTCTTCTTTTTCACTTGATTTTCTAGATTTCCTTTTTGGGTGTATTGCTTAAAGGAATTTTCTTTCCTTTTTCCTTTGATTTCTTTATGAGCATATAGCAATATCAATCTAGAAAGCGTCACCATTCCATACAATCTTCATGTGCCCTTGGTAAGTTTTCTTGTGGGACCTTTATTTCTAGGAAACTTATTTTGAACGGTTTCCCTGGGAAAATTACAGAGGTGATCTCTAAACTTCGTAGTCTAAATTATTTTTCATTTTTGTTAAGGATGTCACGTGAAATTAGTGAGAATGTTCGAGCGGGTTCGTCGGACCCGGATGTAGACTTAAAATAGATTGAGTTTGTTGGTGATAAAGGGGAGGACGTTAATGAGGAGGAGGAGGACACTTTTGAGACCTCTTTTTCCCCTAAAATTGGTAGAGTCTTGTTCTGGGAGCCCCACGAAATAGAGTGTCATTTCACACAGGATAGTCTAGATGCTTTGAGGCCTCGATATGCTCTCCCAGATTTTGTCTGCTTACGATTATTGTCTGCGCATGAGTGAGCTTGTTCCCCTTCTCATGAGAAAGTTTGTTTCCCAAAGTCTGCTCTCCAGGCTGGACTTCAATTTCCTGTACCTCCTTTTATCAAATCGGGCCTTTCTTGACTAGGATTATCCCCCTGTCAATTGGTTCCTAATGCCTGGAAGACCCTTACTAGTTTGGTGGCTCTTTGGAAACTTGTCATTGGGGTATTCTGTTTTATTGGAGGAGTTCGTCTACTACTTTAAAGTAAAAGAATGCAGTCCAAAGGGCTATTTTTACTTTAGTATTCAATAAGGAGTGCCCAAACTTGTAACGGGGCTACTAGACTCGAATAAGAGCTAGAAGCCTTGGTTTTTTCTGTGTCCGAGAAGTGGGAGTTTGGACAAGGTGAGGGACCTTCAGGAGACCCTGCTTCGGTGCCCAGAGTTTGGGTATCTTGACCCCTTCTAGTGAGTCCCTTCTCCTTGAGACTTTTGGCAATTTCGTTATCCTATTTATTTAGTTCTTACATTTTCTGTTTTGGTAGCTGGGAATACCGACCTTAACGAGGAGTTGCTAAAGTGAGTTGGCTGGGTCACAAAATTTTTAACTTCTGGATTTTAATGGCTAAGGAGAGGAGTAAGTGTTTTTCCTCTGTGAACTTGTTTTTGGTTGTTCATTGCTTTTTTTTTTTTNCTTATCATAACTTCTGGATTTTAATGGCTAAGGAGAGGAGTAAGTGTTTTTCCTCTGTGAACTTGTTTTTGGTTGTTCATTGCTTTTTTTTTTTTTTGACATGTTTTTCAAACTTTGGGTCTGCCTATGGATAAGAAGGCTTTGATGATGTTGTAGGCCAAATTCGTCCTTAGGAGAAGTGAATTTCCTGTCTCCAAGAAACTCAAGCTCCCAAAAGGGGGTTCTTCCCTATTCCAAGGGTTGGAGGTTCTAGCAAAATCCCAACTGAGGTGGCTTTTTATCGAGGTTCGTCTTACTAGGGGAAAGGTTATAACGCCTATCATAGATCTTTCAAAAAGAGCTGGTGGGAAAAATGGCTAGCTCCTATCTAATTCATCATAAGAAGACTCTGACTGAGGTGAAGGTGTCTCTTCCTTCTAGGCTGTTGGAGAGCCCTGTCGCTTGGGTGTAAAGGAGAGCAGCTAAGGAAGCTATGGAGAAGTTGCAAGCATTGGGCCCTGTTGAGATCCACACCCAAGCTTGTGAGAAGATGAATGAGGTACGTTCCCCTTGCTTTTAATATTCTCTTCCTTTTTCTTCTTCTAAGCTCCTGTTCTTTTTATCTTCTTCTTTTGCAGCTTGCTAAGCTGATATACTCCCTTGGCATGGGAGACCATGCATCGATTCTTTTGATCTCTAACCTCTGCATGTTTGAAACCTCTCTGATAGTCGATCTTGAAAAGAAAGAGGCGCTGCTTGACAAGATTGTGAAAGACAAAAAGTTTGCTGATGTAGAGAGTTGTGCATCGCAATTAGCGGAGTCCTTTGTTGAAGGAAATGATGTATGCCTCTGAACTTGAGGAGAAGGTTTTTGAGCTTGCCTTAGGTGAGAAGGTGAGAGAGAGAGAGAGAGATCATTGATCGGGAAGACAAGGCAGTTCCCAAGTACAAGGATGGCGAGGACTTTCTTGGGGACATGGGCTAATGCTACTCAACAACATATGAGGCGTTTCACGCTCAAGCTGAGGCTTGATTTCTAGATATTGACTTCAATATCATTTTAGTTTATGGTACCGATAAGGGGAAAGAGTGAAGACCTTTTAGGATTTATTATAATGTTTAATTTTTGTAAGGCATTTTTCATGGTTTTTTTGCAAGTTATTAGTGAATGCCTAACTTCATGTTTTTAATTTTGTGGTCCTGGAATATTAATCTTACTTCCGAAGTATTTGTACTAGATCTAATTGTGTAAGTTTTTAGAGATTGACACTAGATTGGGAGATGGGTCAATTTTCCCTTAGGAAATCGGGGATTGGGAAGTCTCTGACTTTGGAGATCGACTCTTGGTCTATCATTTGAGATGGATCAATTTTTCCCTTAGCAAATTAGGGCTTGGGAGGTCTCTGACTTTTGGAGATCGACTCTTGCTCTTTCCTTCGAGATCTTTGTCCTTAGAGGATACTTTCGCTAAGGGATTGAGAAGGGCATAAGCGTTGGATCATGGTTTTGCCCCCTGTTAATTATCTCAACATAAATCTCTTTACTCCTTGGAGGATAATTTCGCTAAAAAGATAAAAAAATCGGGTCTTAATCTTCTTCCCCTGGTCTCTTAGGTTTTTGACCTTGAAGAGTACTTTTTCTTCTTTTTTTAGTGGAATTTTCCCTTGGGTGGACTCTTGCTTGGGTGGGCTTTCGCCTCGGTGTGCTAGATGAGGATTCGCTTTTGTCTTCCTAAAATCTGAAATTTGTAAGATGGTGCATTTTTTACAAAAAGAGAGCGATTCTATTCCATCTTATAATAGTACAACTCTTGTAACTAGGGGTAGTATTTCTTCAGATGTTCGATGTTCCATGGATGTAATAGTTCTTTCCCTTGGGAAGTCTTCATCTTGTATGTTTTGGGTCGAACTTCTTTCACAACAATGTAAGGGTCCTCCCAGTTCGAGGCGAGCTTCCTTTTAACTCGGTGGCAGCTTCTTTCTTTAACACTAGATCTCCTTCTTATTGACTGAATTAGGAACTAGCCCAAAGGGTGTATTCCTAAGAAGAAGCGTAGACCTGGTGTTTCACTCGATAGAAGCACGGAGAAACATCACTGAGCGAGCCCTATAGCACGCACATCGGGCTTCAAGTAGGAGACTGGGGCAATAAGACATTGAAAACGCTCCCTTTGACTCCCTACTCAAAAATTATCCTAACAGCAGAACTCTTGTTGCACTTAAGTATTAATTGTTATGATTGTAATGAT